AGCTGCAGGCCCTTATTGGCTGTGGTGTAAGGTGTTTTGATTTTGAGGTGCCTCACTAGGGGGAGATTAAAGCCCCTTACCTGAGACCTGAGTACTACCCTAGGCAGCTTTGTGGGGAAGGTGTGCATTTGAGGCCCAAGTTGAGATGTCAGGTAGGCATCTGAATATTATATGGGTCTGTTTTTCAGAGAAGAGGTTTCAGCGGGAGATAGATACAACTATGGGAGACATCAGTGCAAATAGGAATTTAAGTCACGGAATGGATGAGATCACGTAAGACAGTCTAGCGAGGTAATAGGCTCAGGAGTTAACCTTGAGGCTCTCTAACATTTAGAGGTTGGGAGAGAAAGAACAGCAAAGGAAATTGATGAACAGTTGGCAGGAGGAAAACCAAGGGCGGGTTGTACAGGGAGCGAGTAGAGAAAATGATTCTGGGGAGAAAGAGTGGTCCACTGTGCCCAGATGCCTTTTGAGATGAGAATTCACGTAAGGGCACTGTTCTCCATCGGGCTTGGAATGTGGGAGTCTTTCGGGACTTCACAAGGGCAGTTTTGGTGAAGTGGTGGGCAGATGCTGATTGGAACGGGCAGATGAATGAATGGGAGTTTGTAAGGAAGGGTGGATAGCAAGAAGAGACTCTTGATAATGCCTGTACTTCCATGAAGTGGGTAGAGCCCCGGAAGGAATTTAAGGTATTTTAGTCAGGATTTGCCAGAGAGACAGAACCGATAGGATACACGCACACAGAGAAGAAGGAATTTATTAGGGGAATTGGCTTTCTTGATTATGGATGCTGAGAAGTCCCAAGGTAAGATGTTTGCGAGCTAGAGGACCAGAAAAGCTGGTAGCATGGCTTAGTCCGAGTCCAAAGGCTTTGGAACCAGGGCAGCTGATGGTGTAACTCTCAGTTCAAGGCTGAAGGCCGGGGAGGCTGGGGTGAGTCCTGGAGCCCGAAGGCCAGAGATCATGGAGTTCTGACATGCAAGGCACAGGATTAGAAGAGCAGTCAGGCTGTAGGAGAGAACAGGTAAGAATTTGCCCTTCCTCTGCTTTTTTGTTCCATCTGGTCCCTCACTCGATTGGATGGTGCCAGCCCACATCGTTGGCAGATTATCCCCACTCAGCCTACTGACTCTCACTTTGGTTTCCTCTGGAACCTTCTTCCCGGACACACCTGGGGCAGCTCAGTCATTCTAATCAAATACCAAACCACCTAGATTTCCCTTGCAGCAGACAAGGAATGGGCCCAGTGCCTGCTGAAGAACTAAGAATAATCAGTGCTTTACCAGTTATCTGGGTATCCTTTAATCCAGTCAAGTTGACACCTCAAATCAGCCATCATATGGGGTTAAAGGAAGTACAGGAGTTTGCTTGACTTTTTTAGATTTAGATAGGACATAATATTGAGCAACATGAAATTGGTGACATTTGACTATTTTTTACCTATCAGAATGGCAAATTTCATATAGTTTGAGCAAATAGAACACATTGTACTACTGAGAATGAGTGGCTTTGAGAAGGGAAGCTTGATGGGGCAATATTGGGAGGGTTTAACCAAAAGAACAAAGACCAAGCTTTTGAGCAGTTGAGGGAGATGGGATTGTTGCTCAGCAGAGGGTTGGCCTTTGAGGCAGGGAGAAGGGAAGGCATATGTTTTACCAAAAGTAATAGGAAGGAAGGTGAAGATGTGCAGATTCAACCGTGCTTACGTGCTCATGGTAAGTCCAGTCCCTAGCAGCCAGTATCCTACCTGGGGCAAACAATTGTGTAATAAGTTTGCAGATTTAGCTGTAGATACACATTGATTGATTTCATTCATAAGACTGAGTGGGTACTGATCCTGTTCTATGTTGTAGTAGAACTCTAAATTTGTTTTCCCCAAAGTCTTTAATATCTGTGACTTTTTGCTTAGTTTTTCTGTCACTAAAATTGGAATAAATAGAATATCTTGACCTCCTTCCCTACTCCCCAGCAGTTGTGGCACAGTGGCCTCCTTAAAGAACTGATTAGCAAATCAAAGAATAAAGTGGTTTTCTCACAAGTGATTTCCTTGCCCTACAGAAAATCATCTTTTTCAACACTGCTATCAATATTCTTTGACTTGTCATCATAACTGAAGTATTATCTATGATTTCTGTTCCTTTAATGCAAACCATGAGTGCGCTCTTCTCTGTCGTGTGTACAGAATTTGCTTATGAGGTGTGTGTATTCCAAGAATCAGCTGTTTGGAGGGAGACTTTATTTCGCTGCATAATATAGACTTAAAAATGATTTTCATTAGACCATTGTGTGGCCGTGTCCCTAGGCCACAATTTTCCCTATGCATGTAATTCAGTACAGAATTCCACATACTGATCGTTAAGTTTATCTTTAAGGCTGCAATGAGAATGAAAGTCATCTTTAATGCCCGTAGGATTCTTTTTCATGAAATGTCTCCTGTAATGTTTATTTTGAATAATATTCTCATCCATGGGTTATGGGACCAAGGTCCTAGTAAAAATACTCCCAGGAGGGATCCTCTTCTTACTCTATGTGTACTTGTTGAGCTGTAGGCAGCTTTGCTGTGTATATGGCTCCCCAAATGATCTTTTCCTCAAAGTACAGAAAAATGTGGGCACCCTTGTATTAAGCTTATACTATTGAAGTATAAGATAGAACATGTTGCATTTTAAAAAGCTCTGAGGTAATGGCATTTTGCAGTTAGCTAAAGGTTTTATTTTTTGGAGGTGTGTAGCTCTTACTACCGATAAGACGAGTCAACATGTTCTAATTGTGCCTGGAATAAGAATTTGATTTACTGTTACCTGCTGTGGTAGAAATTGCATGCAGCATCTCTGAAGTAGATTCGTATCTTCAGTATTGGAAGTTTTCAGCAGAATCTATCAGAAGTGATTTCAAAAAGCCACCGTCTGTGGTGTGATGAGCAAAGAAAAGTTTTCACCTTATTTCAGAAAGCCTTTGATAGCATGTCTGTTTAGGAAAATATATGCAGATTTAGGAAAATATATGCAGTCATGCACCTGACTCTCGAATAGTGTTAGGTTCTTTAGGTTGAACTTGGGCTGAAAGGGTTATGCCAAGGATCCCTTTGGTCTTCCCATGGAGAATCACTCATAAGCAATGTCGATTTGTATAGTATGATACAGTTCAACAGCTTTGTTGATCTGGAATCCACATGATGGTTCAACTAGTTTCTCAGTTCAAGTCCTGAATGAGTTTTGCACTGATATACCAAATTGCCTTTGTTTTGCCATTTCCAGTTGTAAAGTGTTAAGTATTCTTTCCTTTGCTTTTCTCTAGGGAAAATGGGGCTTGTCTTGCAGTATGAGATCCATGCCAAAACCTTGTACTTCCTGTCTCTGTATATACTGATGAACCGGCTACAGAATTCTACCTTGTGGTTACATCTCACCCCAACCCACCCTGGAGGTGACAGTTACCTTAAAGGACTCCCCTCCACCATCAGGGCTTTGGGTATTCATCTCTAGTGTTGCCTCCCCCGCCAAAGATAATTTGTTGCGAATTTTGGTTACTTTTTTTTCTTGTTCCAAAATTTCTTCCCTTATCTCTTCCGACTTCTGTCCATCCTGGCACAATTTGCTCAGATTATCAGTCTTCTTTTGGTAGATTGTAGTCTCTTGACTTCTGCCCTTCCCTTGTTGAACTGACCAGTAACCTGTGAGTATAATCCTTGTATCTTCTGCCCCCCCCTTACAAAACCAACAAATATTCATAACAGGCTGAAAGAGAATATCCATGCTAGCTTTTAACCATCTTGTTATATGGCTTTCCATGTGTTTTTTTTCCCCAAAAGTATATCACACGTACTATTTTTTAAACTGGCTTTTCTCTGTTTTATCACTTGAAAATACCTTATATTTCTATTTTTAAAACATTTATATTTCTAAATTTTCAGTGGCTGAAGACCACTTCATGATATAAATCTATCATTTGACCAATTTCCTACTTTTACACATAAAGTAGGTGTTTTCTTTTCTCTTTTCCCTTCTTTCCTTTCTGCCTTCTTGTTATTTCTGGGTAATGGGTGTCCAGAGTTGTTTGTTCACTGTGCATACAGTTATTTCCTTAATGTAGATTGGAGTATGAGGAGTAGGCTGTTGATAGTTATAACATCACCTAGTGTGTTCTAAGACAGGGACCCGTATCTTATGCATGTCTGTCTTTCCAGCATATAGCATTATGCTTGACACAGTGGGTGTTTACTACAGAATTATTGTTGAGCTTCAGAAATCTGAGGGCCATTTGACAAATAATGTGAGTATCTGTTCTGTACTTGGAACCGAGGATATAGGGGTGAACAAGACAATGATTGTCCTTGCTCTTATAAGCTTAGCTATTATTCTGTATAGCAAGGTTAAGCCTCTTAATGTGAGAATCAGTGGAAAAAACCAAGACACACAGTAGAGTAAAAGCAGACTGATGGCAGTGTGGTTACTTGGGGGATGTTCATGCTTACGGCTAATTAAGAATTGACTAATCGATTTTTCTATAGATGGTGTTTCTTATTTAGGATTGCCTGCTAGTGTTAATGACTTGAGATAGAAGGATCTTTTTCAGGTTCATACTTTTTGACTCTTGTAACTCTATAATCAGTTACTCTTAAATTTAAAATTTCATACCTGAATGTAATGTGTTTTTATACTTAGTCATACGAGAGACCCAAAGATATTTTAGAACTGAGTTTGGGGAACATAAGAAATATGTCTCAAAATATTTTTGGTCCTTCTATCTCACGTGTTAAAATATGATTAAACAAAGATTGCAGCCATGGAGAAGATTTTCTGCTGTGAATGGTTGTTTTCAACCCTGCCAGCTGTCCATGCTTTCTGTGATCCCACTTATAAAAGTGGAAAGTGAAGGGTGAGTGGTTGCCCTCGTAAGCAGCCACATAATTTAAAAAAAAAAAAAAAGATGTGTATGATGCCTCAGCAGAGCTATATTAGTGTTTCATATAGCTGCCTTTTTCTTTTTTATTGCAGGGCCAGCTCTCAATGTTGCAAGAAAAAATAGACCATTTGGAGCGTTTGCTAGCTGAGAATAATGAGATCATCTCAAATATTAGAGACTCGGTCATCAATTTAAGTGAGTCTGTGGAGGATGGTCCGAAAAATTCACAAGGCAATTTCAGCCAAGGTGCTGGCTCACACCTGCCATCGCAATTGTCCCTCTCAGTTCACCCTGCAGACTGTCTGTTTGCTTCACAAAGTGGAAGTCATAATGCAGATGTGCAGGTAATGTATACATTTATTAATAATCAGTGGGCTTTTTTTGGATTTGATCTGATATCTGTTCTAAATTGGTAAGTTGCTTAAACTCTCTAGTTTTTCTTTTTATAAAGTGCTTTGATTACTCACATTGAACATTAATGTTCTTTTTAGTGATAAAATTCTGTAATTTTGTGTTTCTCTCAGTTTTCCTTACTATTTTATATTTAAGTAAATGTAGCCTTTCTTCTTCTTCTTCTTCTTCTTCTTCTTCTTTTTTTTTTTTTTTTGAGACAGAGTCTTGCTCTATCACCCTGGCTGGAGTGCTGTGGCCTCATCATATAGCTCACTGCAACCTCAAACTCCTGGGCTCAAGTGATCCTCCTGCCTCAGCTTCCCAAGGAGCTGAGACTATGCCTGGCTAATTTTTTCTATTTTTTGGTAGACACAGGTCTTGCTCTTGCTCAGGCTGATCTTGAACTCCTGACCTCAAGCGGTCCTCCTGCCTCAGCCTAGAGTTCTAGGATTACAGACGTGAGCCATTGTACTTGGCCGGTACAGCCTTTTTATATACATTTCAGGTCTTCTTTTCTGTAGTAGTTGAAAACCTTTTAGAGGTTTAAATTTTGCTGGAGAGATTTTTTTTTTTACCTTCCTTTGGAGAATACAAGAAAAACTCTGCTATTTATACCTGTTATACATTAAAGGTTTCATAAAATGTGGAGTTAGTTTTTTTGTTCTGTTGTTTTGGGGTTTTTTTGTTTTTTTATTTTGGGTAATTATCGTTTTTTGCAAGGGGTAAGGAAATTATTGTAGCTACTGCCCACGTGTGGCTCCTGAGCACTTGAAATGTGACTAATTTGGCTTGAGATGTGCTCTCAGTGTCATATGCACACAAAGTGTTTCAGACAGTATGCAAAAATTCTTAATTCATTTTTACATTGATTGTATGTTGAGATGATATTTTGTATATATTGGGTTAGATAAAACATCATTAAAATTAATTTCCCCTACTTTGTTTTACTAGAAAATTAAAATTGCACACTTGGCTTGTGTTATATTTCTCTTGGACAGTTTACTGTTCTAGAGGGTAATGGAGTTGAAAACCAGGATCAGAAAAGACTTTTGCTTTTCTTAAACTCAGAGCAAAACAACTCATCTTGGCTCTGTAAATTAGGGGAGGGCTGTGTTTAAATTTGTGCCTTAGACCAGAAACTGGATCTTGGTGGGAAGATCCTAAGGGGTGAATATTTTAAAGCTGGACAAAATTAGTTGGCTTCTGGCCTTGCTTTAGAGTAGGCATTTTCCACTAACTCCTAAGGGCAGAGAATGTGATATAATTTTGAGGCCATGGCTCACAGGCCAAGCTGGAAGCTGAGAACAGTGGAGTAGGCCAGGTCTTGCACCTGCAACCCCATCAGCTAGTGTGTGGCCAGATTCTCATAGGATCAGAATACTGTACTTTGTAGGGAGAGCTGTTTCTATGAGGCTTGGCTTTATTTAGGTTTTTATTGAGTACTTCTTAAGTACCTAGCCTTGACGTCCATGCTAAGGCGACAGCAAAAAACCATTTTTATTTTTATTTTGTGGTCTAAGTCTGGGCTAAATAGAAGGGAGTTCAGAGCAACCATGGAAGGCAGGCAGAGTGAGGCAGGAGGGTCTTGGGAGAGCTGCCGAGCCAAAGAAAGAACCAGAAGGAATAGCAGAGGCTGCTAACACATCCTCCTGCCCAGCTGGTTTCCAAAGATTTGTTGGCTCATTCTTGGGAGGGTTTTATTTTATTTATTAAAGTCATAAATTCCATAATGAGATATTTATGTTACTGTCTTAAAATACTTTGTATTGACTTTTATGTAATTTGTTCAGTATTTAAACATTTTTTGTAACCCATTTATATATTAATTAGAATGTAATTTTTGCAGCCTAATAAATCTTAATATAATTTAAGTTATACAAAGTGAAGGTTCTTTGTCACTTTTAGTGTTACAGAGACTGAAAAATAAAAGTAAAGTTTTAGTTTTTTTTTTTTTACTTTGTCTTCAAATAGATTATTAGCTAGAAGGCATACTGCATTGGAAAGCTAGAATACATGTAGATACTTGAAAGCTAGATCCTAATTTATAATATTCTCTCTATTTTTAAATGATTATGCCAATAGTTAACCCTATTGTTTCATTTTCAGACTAGAAAAGGTAAATATAACAAGTTACATGAAAGAATAGCTACAGAAGCATTTTCATTCAGGTATAGATTTAAAAAATATATAAGATTGATTATAAAATAGAGACAACCCCAATAAAGTAAAAAGTCATTTTCAGTACCATATTTGAAAATGCTGAAATATTTGGTCATCATCAAATTTTATCAGAATTTTGTTTGTTGATTCTATTTTTGTTAAATTGTGTTGGGAATAAAGTAGGGGAAGAAGGAGTTGAATGAAATTATCTTTCATTAGAAGCAGATGGGGGAGGAGATTATGTATCAGGATAGTTATATAGCACAAGTAGCATTTCAAGCCTTTGAATGGTGATTAAATGTTTTCTGCCCTAAATGCTTCAATTAGTATATACAGAATAATTTTATAAAGTATATATGCAGAGTATAGCAGTGACTAATTTTGAGCAAATATTTACCAACATTAACCTTAAATTAATGGTTACACTTTAATTTTTTTTCTTTTGTATTTTTAGATGTTGGATGTTTACAGTCTACTTTCTTTTGACAATCCAGATGGTGGAGTTTGGAAGCAAGGATTTGACATTGAGTATGAAACTAATGAATGGGACACTGAACCCCTTCAGATCTTTGTGGTGCCTCATTCCCATAATGACCCAGGTAAAATTTGCATTTCAAAAAAACTACAGGTTATGAAGCTCCTTTAGGCCCAGAGTCTTTTAATCAGAATTTGGTAGAGCCGACTTCTCAAATTTTTAAGGCATTGTTCTTTTTTAACAGTAACATATTCCTTTTATGTGTCATTATATTTTATTGTTCTCATTTTATCAATTTATGTGTCATTCAAGCATAGTATTTGTACAGTATGAAATAATAATAAACACAAGAAGGGCTTAGCTTTTGTACACTTTTAAGATACTGATTGTTTGTTTTAGTTACTTGTAAAATATTTCATGGGAGAATCGTTTTATGTCTGTACACTCTACTTTTAAAAAGGCAGAATGCTAATAGAAAAGTTTGAATCTCTAAAATGGAGAAGCCACATAAAGGTTTAAGAACCTTGGTGTTCAGGGTGTCAGACATGGATGTGAGTCCTGGCCCTCTCTATTTATACTTGTTAGTTAGATAACTTTAGGCAAGTTACTCAATCCTTCTAAGTTTTTTTTCCCTGGGAGAATCAGGATAATAGTATCTATTTGACAGGTTGAAATGCAAAGGAATCGTGCATGGCACAAAAGTAGCTGCTGTCATAATCATTACTATTGATATTATTGTTTTTTCACATGATGGCTTTTATTTATTGTGGTCAGAAGGTTTTTTTTCCCTTGCAAGGTAAGGGGAAATTGCTATAATTATAATGAGACATATGATTTGATGTGCTTGTTTGTTAGTGTGAGTATACAGGCACAGAGTAAATGCCCAGTGAATTCAGTTGCAGCATTTTGGGGGGCATATGTATTTCAAAGACTTCTTTTGAAGGACTTAATTACCCTCCTGTTAGTTACTTTTCTCAGTATCTCAATTTCACTATTACTATTAGAGACACTAATCCGCCTAATACTTTGATGGTTTTTTCTTTTGCTCCCACCATTCATTTATCTTTTACTTATTATTCCTTCCCACTAGTTTATTGGCAGGTATTTGTTTCTTTGTATTTCTAAGAGAATAGAACATGTTACTTTAGGTATGGACACATGATTTAGCCATATGTGTTTTGCATGTGTGTGCTGCTTTTGGGTATGAGTAGTCTGGAAGATAGTGCTTGAATATTGAAATGTTTGGATTTCCAGAATAATTAAATATCAAGTATGCACAGAGATATGAAATATATGAAATCAATATTGTTCTGGAAATTTCTGATGAACATTTGCCATACATCAGTTTTGACTTGGTTTCCCTATCTTTGGCCTTAATGTCTCTATCTTTTCCTACAAATACCTGATAGTCTAAGTTTTCCTTATCTGTATTTTAGATCACATCTTCCTTCTTAATCTCATCCTGTACTTTTCAAATCCAAACTTAGGGATGGCTGGGTATCATGAAAAAGACTTCCTGGATTTGGAGTGGGGCAGAAAGAGGCCAGTATCTTGGCTCTGCTGTGTGCTGCCTTCGTGTTCTTGGACACGTTCACATGTGTGTCTGTAAAATGGAGATCATATAGGTGGAGCAGCATCTTAAGCAGGGGTTGGTTATAAAGTAAATTTAAAAGGTGATGAAAATTACCTCTAATCCAGATTTCTTTTTCTATTTATTCACTTGAGTACCAGATTAATTAGTACATTTGCATTTAGGGGATGTGTATGGAAAACACATATCTTTGATTACTAGACTCACACTCGTTGAGTTGAGGTGCTTTCAACATGTGGGATCAGAGACGGCCTGTGGGACTGCAGGGTTTTTTCCCCTGGAAATCTCATATTCACTCTGGAGTATTCAATTATTGAGTGAAATGGTATAGTATTTAAATCGTCCTGTCCTCTTTCTCTGCCAATCATGCATCGTTTAATTCTCGCCACTTCATTGGGTGTGTGATGTGATTCCATTATATAATCTTCCTCAAAGGTTTATAAATATGCTTCAAGTTCTTCAAGTATATTTATAAATATACTCCAAATATCTTGCAAGTTCTCCTCATATGAAGCCCACTCCTTCTCCCTTGTTGATGTTGTTTTTAAGACCTTTATTCTCCTTTCCCCTTTTCTGCCATTTTTAATTCCCACCAATCTCATCTCTTGTTATTTCTATAACATGGGGACTTACTTACAATAGTAAAATGTATGGTTTGCCAGGCAGGGTGCCAAATGTTTTATAAACATCTAATGCTTACAGTAACCCTTGAGGTTAATGCCACTCTTCACGATGAAGGTGTTACCAACTTGCCAAAATTACACAGGTAGTAAAGGACACCAGAATATTTCCCTGACAGTTTGCCTGGATTTCCTATTGGAATAACTTAGAGCGGCAGAGAACATATGTCTCTTATTAAACTCTCCCCTCATTGCTTAGCCCAACACTTGGCATATAATAATCGCTAAATAGGTAAGGTCTTCTGTGATCTGTCTCCAAGCCCCTCTACCATGTGCACATACTGTACACACCCCCCATGCTTGCACATATGCACAGAGGTAAATATTTACAGATCTGTAACTGCCACATGATAGATAATGTGTCATTACAGTTCTGTTAAATAAGTTAGTGAACTAATGAATATGACTGTCCAGGCTAGGATGAAACATTTTGACTTATTCTTTGGCATGCTCTTTTCTTTAACTGCCTTCTTCCCTGGTGGCTACTTATTTCTATTCCTTAAAAATAACTTAAGGAACACTTTGCAATTTTATATGCTAACAGCAGACAGTAATAAGTTCTTTGAGGGCAGGGATTGCCCCTGCCTTTTAGATCTTTTTGTTTGTTTGTTTGCATTAGGGTTCCTCTGGTAGGTAGAGTGTTGTTTTGTGAGTAGACATCCCTAATGACTGCCTGACTGCAGACTGTGAATTTGTCTGCTGGTGTGCTAGCAACCAGAGTCGAATCTTTTTTTGTCTTAGTAAAAGATGTTGATGACTATCACTCTCAGGCCCTTTTGCACTAGAGGAAAAAATAATGGTCAGAAACAGACATTTTAAAACGATAGCAATTTTTGCTATCAAGCAAAGCGCTAGAGAGAAGAATCCACTGACTTTTCTTAATAACTTTCACTGTTCCTTTGAAAAAGAGTATTGGTAAACTAAATTGCTCTGTGAAAAACCGAATCATTCAGAATCATGAAAAGCCACTCTTTCAATAGGGGAAAAAGAGAAAAGTATGTGCACATACATTCTAAGTTAAAATGTGACTCTGTAATGGGAAATCTTTGTATAACACTCCCAAATGAATGTGCAATTAGGCAATTTACTCGCTAAATGAGATTTATAAAGATTTGTTTGCGTTTTCTGCAGCAACAATTTAAAACAAGCTTTAGCTCAGTAGTTTGTTTCATCAGTGGGTTTTTGTCTGTTGGAAATAGAAATATTTGAAATAGATTTTTAAAAGATTCTCATATTTAGTTCCCTAACTTCTAGAATTTATGTTGCTGTGGTTTTTCATATGTAGATATTTTTCTTTTTGGACTGAGTTGGTAATATCCCTTAAGAAAAGGTAAATTTCAGAAATGTTTGTATCTTAATAAAATTCCTAATTATATCTTCTTCCAATCTATCAGAACATGTAACAATTGTCATAAAATATTTAAGTGGTTTACACAAGTTAAAACAGAATTGGAAAGGAATTGTTCAGTAAATGCAGGTAACTTTGTACTGTTATGTTTTTGAAAAGTTTTGAATCATAGACCATGAAATTAAATGTTAGTTGATTGATACATGTTCATGTTGTATTTAATAAGCTGATTAAAACACAATTACAGCACCTTTGTATCTATAATCTTAATTCTTTGCTTTCCACTAGTTAAACTGCTGAAATATTTAGTTAATTTTCCTTCAAAGAAATCACAGTGTGTAGAGAGAAGATAAGGTATACTAAATGAAAGGTTGAACAGCATATTGTTAGTTAAGCAATTTGTGAAATGAACATTAGAAAATAATCCCCCATGTGGTATGACTCTAAAATAGCAGGAAGACCTAGGCCCAGGAGTTACACTGGAAAATAATTTTCTTTTGTGCATTTGCAGATCTTTTGCAGAATTTTTTTATTGACTCAATGAGTGATTATGACTTTTGGCTTTTTTTTTTTTTTGGTAAAACTAAGAAAACAGATTTTTGCATTTAGTATTATATGACAATCATGTATCCTTATTCTAAAAAAAGTTTGTAAAAAGCATATGAGGAAATCACAGTGTAATATTACCTTTAAACATTTCTGTTCAAATGTTATCAGGTATAGTTAAAATTTAAAAACAGTTTAGGTTAGCCATAGTTGGCTAAAGTCTATAGATGAAAAGTGGTAGCAACTTAGAAGTCTGGTTGCTACAGGAACCTACTGATTAGAATGAGAGGGTCAGTAGGGAGAGAGGTTTGTATGTGGACACGGTTTGGCGAGTAATTTCTTTGGTTTAACTACTGCAGGGTAAAGTGGATTCTTTGGTTTTGACTACTGTGATGGGAAATTTGAGTTTTCTGGAGCTAAAATAGTATGAGAAGAACTGAGAGCTAGTGTTTGTTGCCTGTCCTGCATCACAAGAGTGCCAGGTCTGTGTTAGTGTTACTTTTTACTTTGTATAATCCTTTCTGTAACCCTGAAAGGTGATAAACTAGCCCCATTTAACAGGTGAGGCCAGTGAGGCTAAGTGGTAGGATGTGGTAATTTGTTCAAAGTCAGCCAATTATAAATTCTCAGAGACTGGTAAACTGAAGCTCAGATTTGTCTGATTCTACAATCCATGTTCTTTCCATTTACCATACCGCTTCTTAAGATATTTTATGCAAATGATTGTATTTCTTTTCTTCCTGTTTTATGGGCATTAGCCAATTTAGCACATTTATCTTGACTTTGGATTATGAATAGGGTTGTCAGATAGCAAATAAAAATATAGGATACTCAGTTAAATTTGAATTTTTGATGAACAATGAGTAGTTTTTTAATGTGTGTGTATATATGTCCAAAATATCACATGGGACATACTTAGCATTTATTTGTTCTTTATCTGAAATTCATATATAACTTGG